GCTTGAAAGATTTGCTGGGTTATATAAAACTGTAAGGGGAAGAATAGAGTTAGAGAGAGTTAAAGTGGGTTAGGAGGAAAATATAATGAATGAGGGAGTTAGAACAAAAGCATCAAGTATGTGAGAATTAGGAGAATAACAACAAGAGAGTTAGAAGGAGAAGGAAAACATCTAGAGAGACAGAAGGGACATTTCTGGATAGAGATAAGGAACGAGAATTTAGAATACAGAATGAGGACTAAAGAAGAAGGATACCCTCAAGAGAGAGTGTGCCTTTTTCTCCAACTCCCTCAGATAGAAAAGTCTAGTAAACACTGATGCTGAGGATTCTGGCCCCCAGGCAGCAATAGTTAGACTTTTGAGTGTTACTTTCAATCATAAATGTTTGCTTGCTTGCTTATATCCTTCCTTCCTTCCTTCCTTCCTTCCTTCCTTCCTTCCTTCCTTCTGTCATGTTGGTAAAAAATGAACATATTTTTATGGCATTGGGTATTAGACATATGGCCTTGCACATGTTAGATCAAGGGCTGTATTATCAAATTAATATACATTATTATAATTATCATTATTTTATGGTTTTAGAGATTCAACCTAGGGCCTAATGCATGCTAGACAAGTGCTGTACCATTGAGCTGAATCTCCAGCCTATTTCTTTTTAATTGAGAGAATCTACTGAAGAAAAGTTTTGTTTTCAAACTTCAGGTTGCCTATTCTTTAGTAAATTAGAGGAGATAACATGTTTCTTATTTGCACTACAAACTATTGGATGTTATTAGAAAATTCAAGTAATTGTACTGTTATTTATATATACACAATCCTACCCGTGTGTGTGTGTGTGTGCGCGCATGCGCGTATACAAACTAGCCATACATATTAAAAATTTAAGCATATATATTTATTTAAAAGATAGGGTCTCACTGTGTAGACAGGCAGGCTTTGAACTCACATGGACCCTGCAGCCCTTGCCTCCTGAGTGCCCAGCTTCTACCCATAATTTATTTTTCTTTCCCCTCCTCCCACCCTGTTCTTCCCCTCTACTCCCTTTCCTCCTTTCCTTTCCCATTCCTTTCTCTTCTGTTCCTCTTTTCCTTCTCCCCTTGGTCCTCTCTTCCTTTCCTCTTCCCTCCTTTGCCCTTCCCCTTCCCACGCCCTTGTTTTCCTTCCCCCTCCCCTTCCCTTTCTTCCCCTTCTTTTCCCTATCCCCTTTCCTCCCATCTCCCTCCTTTCCCCTCCTGGTTTCTCTGTGTAGCCCTGGGTATCCTAGTACTTGCTCTGTAGACCAGGCTGGCCTCAGGCTCACAAAGATCAGCCTGCTTCTGCTTCCTGAGTGCTGGGATTAAAGGCGTGCCCTACCATGCCCAGCACCCTTGTCTTTTGAGACAGCTTCTCACTGATCTGGACTTGCTGACTCAGCTAATTACATGAATTCTGGGAACCTCACTTGGATCCTTATGCTTCCATGGGAAGCATTCTTCTAATCCGGTGGTCTCCCCAATGCTCAAATTGTGTTTGTTTTTACATGAAAAATTTCAGCCAATAGGGATAAAATGAAGTGAGCAAATAGTGCATTCTTCTTTTTATACTTGTTTGAATAGTAAATTACTTCTATTTTCAGTTTCTCCCATTATTACAGGGCATGATATGCTTAGTGGGAACCGGAGTTTGTCAGCCCACCGAATGCAAGTTGTGTTCACAGTGATCTTGACTGCAGAAATTTGCTGACGGGATTTCAGATAGCTCAGTGGGAAAGCTTTGTGTTTGTAAGTGCTAGAGCACATTGTAGTCGTCCCTTGTCATACATGTAGAAGGATCTTTAAAATTGGAATAGTTTTGTTTTTCTTTACATTTTCTTTGCCTGTGTGCTAGGGTTTAAAAATAAAATTATAATAGCTTACCACAAAATGGAACATTTTGAAATTAGTTGTTTAGAATTAGGTAATGGGGATATTTCATTGTGGGAGTGACTAGATAAACTTGGCTTTCTATTGTTGGTTTTTTTGTATGTTTTGAGACAGGGTAGCTCTGGCTGTCCTGGAACTCACTCTTTAGACCAGGCTGGCCTTGAACTCAGAGATCTGCCTGCCTCTGCCTTCTGAGTGCTGTGCTGAGATTAAAGGCCCGTGCCACCACTGCCCTGCTGATCAACTTGGTTTTTAAAGGAGCTCTGTTGAGAAGGTACAGTAAGAGAGACAAAATACAGGAATTGTTAATGAAAGGTGTGGATTTTTGCATGACTCGTATTAGATGGTAGTATTAAAAATGTCAGAAAGTGTTTGGATTTTAGAATTTATTTTTTCTCCCAAGACAGGGTTTCTCTGTGTATTCCTGGCTGTCCTAGAACTAGCTCTGTAGACCCTCTGGCCTTGAACTCACAGAGACCCACCCACCTCTCCCTCCAGAGTTCTGGAACTAAAGGTGTACTCCACCTCCACCTGTCTGGATTTTGGAATGTTTTAAAGGTACATCTAAGTAGGTTTCCTGACTTTGGTTTATGGGATAGTAGAAGGTATGAATGGCTGCATATGTGGTGCAGGTTTAGATGCATTTGGAGCCTAGTTTTGGGAAAATAGCTTTTTATCTTAGGGTTTCTATCGCTGTGAAGAGACACCATTACTATGGTAACTCTTATGAAGGAAAACATTTAATTGGTGCTGGCTTACAGTTCAGAGGTTTATAGACCATTGATAATATGGTGTGTAGGCAGACGTGGTTGGTTCTGGAAAGATAGTCAAGAGTTCTACATCTGAAACCATAGGCAGCAAGAAGAGAAAGTAAACTTCTGGGCCTGGCTTGGACATCTGAAACCTCAAAGTCCACTATCAGTGATACTTCCTCTAAGAAGGCCATGCCTACTCCAATAAGGCCATGCCTCCTAATAGTGCCATTTCCTATTAGCCTATGGGGACTATTTTCATTCAAATCACCACGCTTTTGAAATGTTTGTTACCTATGTAAGTGTGATTATCTACTTGGATATTAAAGCTACTGTTAGTAAGAGTTGTAGCAGAAAGAGTAGTGTATATTAATAAAAATTGAGCCTGCCTTCCCTTCACTGGTTTGAGCCAGAATTTTTTCAGGTTGTGGCTTTTTTTGGAGTTTGGAATGTTTTCATAGACTTCAGCAGTTGGGCATTTCTAATCTAAAACTGAAATAAAAAATGCTCTGTAATGTGAAAAAATTTTGGAAAGAGTTTTTGTTAATAAGACTTTTAAGAAAAGTTCATCAGTGAACTTCCTGGTCAGGCAACAGTGGTAAGTTAGGTGAAAGATATAACCAAAATATTAAATTATAGTTGTTTTCATTATTCTTAACCATTGTTCATATCAAGTATTGTACTCTGTCCTTCTATCTAGAGGTGTCCTAGGTTTCTTTTTTTACACTAATGAGTAATTCAGAGACAGCCACAGGTCTGATAAGAGAATTGTCTGAGGTTGTCTATAACTTCTGAGTGATCCTCGAAGACTGTTAGCTTCCTTCCTTCCTATTTGTCAAGTCATTTGTTTACTTAAAACCAGGCTGTTGTCAAATTCACAAAGATCTTCCTGTCTCTTGTTTCACTTCTTGTCTTGTTCAGCCTGCTTTCTCATAGAACCCAGGACTAGCAGCCTGGGATGGCACCATATACTTACTACACACCTGGCTTTCCTACATCAATCACTGAAGAAAATGCCCTACACCAATGGTTCTCAACTGTGGGTCCTGACTCTTTTTGGGATGTTCATGACCCTTTCAAAGGGATTGCATATCAAATATCCTGCATATTAGATATTTACATTATGATTCACAACAATAATTTTATGGTTGTCTGTGGCTCACAACCATCTAGAGTGGGATCTGATGCCCTCTTCTGACATAAGACTGTACACGCAGATAAGAGCGCTCATATACATAAAATAAATAACCTTTAAAAAAAATAAAAAAAGAAAGCTGTCATGATATTTTCTGATTTTGAACTACTTGGAAACTTGTCCACTTGAGTTTTTCTTCCTCCCGGAGTCCCACTGGAGGTGTTCATGATAGGTAACCAGGCACTTGTTACTCTGGAGGTAAGTGCTACAGTTAACATAAAGAACGTCATAACTCTGTAGTGCAGGCTGGCTGTGATGGCCTTTGTTTCTTCTTTTTGAAAAGGGGTATTTTCAACCAGGCAGTGGTGGTGCATACCTTTAATTCCAGCACTCTGGAGGTCGAGGCAGGCAGATCTCTGTGAGTTCAAGGCCAGCCTGGTCTGTAGAACAAGTTACAGGACAGGTTTCAAAGCTACAGAGAAACCCTGTCTTGAAAACCAAACCAAACCAAACCAAACCATCCCACATTCATATCCTCTCCCTTCCTCTGCCAAGGGATCTTTTTAGTTGGGTGGTGGTGGCATATACCTTTAGTTCCAACACTTGGAAGGCAGAAACAGGCAGATCTTTGTGAGTTTGAGGCCAGCCTGGTCTACAGAGTGAATTCCAGGACAGCCAGAGCTATACAAAGAAAAACCAACCAACCAACCAAACAAACCAAAAAACAAAAAAAGGGGGGTACCTTTTCTAGTCTCCCCTTTTAGATCATTTACGGTTTTGGTTTCATGTCTTACTGATAGGTCAATCCAATGATGTGCGCTACTTTCTACTATTGTAGTTGTTGGTATTGTTATGACTAATTACATAACTAGCTGTTCAGAACTAGGGATCATCCAGGTTGTTGAATCAGTCGGTGTGGATTACCTTATCCACAGGTAAGGGTTTGTGACAAAGGAAGGGTCCACTGGCCACAGAGTTGGCTTAGCTGTTTTCAACATCTCCTGCTTCAAAAAAACATTGAGAGTAACTAGGCATGGTGGCACATTCCTTTAATACCAGGACTTGGAAGGCAGAGGATCTGGTGGATCTGGGTTCAAGGCCAGCCAGGTATACATAGTGAGCTCCAGGCCAGCCAGAGCTACAAAGTGAGACCAAAAAAGGCATGAGCATAAGAAGGCAACTACTGACTGACTCTCTTCTGCGTCTTTTTAGGAGATGCATCGGAGATTTGAGAATGCCCCTGATTCTGCCAAAACAAAAGCCTTACAAACTGTCATTGAGATGAAGGTAAGTGAGAATCTCATGAAGAATCTTGGAGACACCTTTCACTCTTGACTGCTTAGACTGCCTTCCTGCATATGCAGAGAGTTATGGTAACAATAGTGCTTTGCTCTGTTAGGAGACTGAGAGGAAAGTGTAAGATGTCATCAAAGAGTGCCTCAACAGGATTTTCAGTTTCTGTTCAGTTGTTGGACATAATTCAAACGAGATCGAACAGGGTTGTCTAGTATTTCTTAAGTCAGATGTCAAGCTTAAAGTAGAGAGGGGATTATTAGGCAAGAAGAAAGAAAACTAGTCAGGGAGGAGGGTGATAAAAAGACGATCAAATTATTATCATACATGTATTAAAATGGCACAATAAAACTGGTTATTTTATGTAATTAACGTATTCAAATGAAAAGATTATGGAAGATGAAATTTCTTGGCCTGCAAAGATAGCTATCAGTAAATGGTTTGCTGGGTACCTGAACTGGCTCCCTAGAACCTATGTAGAAAAGTTGAGCTGCTTGGCCATGCTTGTGACTTCAGCAATGGGACAGGGGACTTTCTGGGGCTTGCTGACTGACTAGCCTCTCCTACTTGTTGAGTTCCAGGCTAATGAGACCCTTTGTCTCACAAAACAGGGTGGGTAGTGTGGATAGCCTAAGGAACAATATTTGAGTTTGTCTTTTGATCTGAATATGCTTACTCATGTATGTCACCCACACGTATGTCAGCTTGCTCCTTAGAGCACCCTGCAGGTGTTGTTGCTAGTGACAACCATTGTTCTTCAGTGTGCAGCATGAATGCTCCATGCCTAATTTTCATTTTTTCATATATATATTTGGTGGTTGAAATTTATTAAAAGTAATGTATTTTAAGTGCTTAAAGACATTGTTTTAAAATTTTAGTTATTTATCCTTTTTTTTTTTTCATTGCCAGTTTATCTCCCTAAAGAATGTCATAACTAAATGTAGTGCCATTGTCTTGGCTTTGGCCATTGTTTCCTTTATCAGTGCAACTGTCAATATATTGGAAAGATTCAATGATACCTGTAACATTACTGCAAAAGTCACTTTAGCTCTGGAGACTCTTTGTCTAGAGGACCCTGATTGTATTTTGAAAACCTGCTTTAAGTCAGTCATTAGTTAGAAATCTCCAGGAGTTACAAGATCTAGCCACTTTTATCAGACATGTGATAAGAAGCAAGTTCTTAACCTCTCTATGGCTCTTTCTTGTTAAAGAAAAAGTTCTGTTAATGCTGATAAGAATGCCATTCATTGGTTGATTAGAGGTTCCATTATTAAAACCTGTAAAGTGCTTTGGACAGGACTTTGCACATAGCTAACAGCCAATGTTGGTGTTGCAGGTATTTTTTATTAGACACACTGTCTTCTGGTTTTCTTTGTTGTGACAATTTGGTTTACAATTCTGTGTAATAGCCCACCATTGAAGAGAAGTAAAAGGTAGGAACTAGAGACAAATGGTCACATTGTATCTGTAACCAAGATCAGAGAGAGAAACAAGAAACAAATGCATTATTGCTGTCTGCTGGCTTGCTCTTATCTAGCCTTCTTCTATCTTGTATAGTTCAGGGCCCAGTCCATGAATTGGTGCCACCCACAGTCTGGGTGAGTCTCCCATACCACCTCAATTAATGTAATCTGAACAGTCCCTGCACACGCCAATATGATGTAGATAATTCCTCACTGAGACTCTCCTCCAAAGCAGTTCTGGGTTGTAGCCAGTTATTTAAAACTAACCATCACACATGGTCCTCCTTTCCTCTCCCTGTGTCCTAGGCTGTTTTTGAATTTGCCATCTTCCTGTCTCAACCTCCTGAGTGCCAGGATTATAGGCATGTGCTACCATACCTCTGCATTATGTTCTTTCTTACAAAAGACCATTTAGTTCTATGTGCTTTCTTTAATTTCTTCATACCCCATAAGAGGGTTGGTTTGTATTATCCCCCCATTTTTTGCGGTACTTTCTTATGTGTTTTGAGATAAGGTCTAACTCCAGCCTTGACTGGAAGCAGTGTGATTTGGTTGGCAATGATGTATATTTTCTTTTTCAGTGTGGGAAGGATTTCTCAAACAAAATTTAAATTATTAGTTTTTGGGTGCCTTGCAGTTGTACAATAACAAGCTTACATATAATCTTATAAGGGGCCTTTCAAATGGCTTAATTTTATGGCTTTTTCTTAGTCACATGACATAGGTTTATTTGTGCATGTTATTTCTTGATCTTGTTGATGCCTGAGGATAAAACACATGTTCACACATGGTTTGGTGTTCTTTGTTTGTTTTAAATTCTCCTCACAGATCAGGGATGTATAATTTTGTTAATTGGCAATAGTAACATTTTAAGTCTTGTCAAGCTTATAGTGTAAAATAAGATTCTGTCAACAAGAAGGGTCAGGTGGACGCTGTTGGTTATTTTTCTCATTGCTAGAACAACACAGCTGGCAAAAAACAACTTAAGAAAGGATGGGTTTATACTTCAGGGTAGAGTCCATAGGGTGAGATGAGGCAGTAGGTATGTGAGGCATCTGGTCACTTTGAGTTCACAGATAGGAAGCAGAAAGGTGTGAGTGTTGCTGCCCCACCAACTTTCTCCCGGACACTTGCTCATGGGGTGGTGGCACTCATGTTCAAGGTTGGCCTCCCACCTTCATCATTACTTGGATATACACACTCTAAGATGCCCCAAAGCCTCTCTTCCAGGTGATTGGAAGCTGGCCTCTGATGTTGCAAAATGAGATAGCTCAGGGTAATTACATCCTTCAGGAAAGCCCCGTTTTGCTTGGGGAGATGAAGACAACTTTTGGAATTGGAGAGGTGGGGGATTTCTCAAGGAAATATATCTTAGAGGGCCCACTAAGAGTGGCTGACGGTGATAGGGAAGTCAAGGCTTGGAAAGTGGAGTGGAAAAGTAAAAGGGAACTTAATTTTCTGCTTATTTCACAGAGAAATGAAAAACATGATTGGGAGAACTATCCTCACATAAACCCAGGCTTGGTACCATTAGAACTAGTTATACTAAGAAGGGTTAGTTTTTCCGACTTGATTTCAAAGAATAAATGGGTAAATCATTCCCCGACAGGCTGTGTTTGCCTTTAGGTTTTCATAGCTATAGTAATGGTCTTTTCTAGAAAGAAGTTTTTGTGCTGTATGTTTGGTAGTGAGTTGATTTTGTCTTGTGTTATTGTCATGGGTGGAGAAGAAGTAAGGCTTTGCTTAAGGGCCTTGTAGAAGTTGTACAGCTAGTCCTCTGTGGTTGTATAGAGCTAGGGCTGTTACTCTGGGCTACTGTTGTCGTTTGTGATCAAATCTCTGCTAAAGATACACAGATCCCTTTTCCTATCTGTTCATTCCCTCTTGTTGCTCCTAGATGTGGGCATTGCAAAACTTATATTTGACTCCTAGCTATTTGTGCATGTCTGGTGTTTTAGTCATTTTAAAGAGCCCATGTCCTGATACTTGCAGAAAATTTTATGTTAATCTTAAAAGTGAATTTCTGATAGTGCAATTGCAGCACAGGCTATGAACAAGGCAAGAGTATCTTTCCCCCTTAGCTCCCCAAACCTGAAAATTGCTGGTTGAAGTTATCTCATGACAGATCCTTAAGTTCTGTTTTTCTGCTCTGAGAATTACTATAGCCAACCCAGCCAACCCAGACATCTTTCATATAAAGTGAAAAAGAAGTCAGTTTCAGAATTCCATTCCAAAATGTTCTCTTTAAAGCTTGAAGTAAAATAAACCTATACTTAAATTCTTTAAAGCTTCTATTTCTTAGGCAAAAAAAGCAAGTTCAATTACAGATATAAATTTATTTTCATGTATCCATTCTGATGTAATTGATGACATATGGCATATGTTGTTGATAAGTTATGTGTTACTACAAACAAATGAAGAAATTGAGTATAGAAATATGTAGAACTAGAAGATAATATTTGTGGTAATGATTTCGAAAAACAGTGATTATTTAATTTAGCTATTTTTGAGACGGGGGTTGTCTTACTGTGTTGCCTAGGCTGTCCTTGGACTCCTGGTCTCAAGTAATCTTCTTGCTGCCTCATTCTAAGTACCCAGGACTATAGGTATGTGCTTGAAAGTTAGTGATTTTTAAAACATATGTAGATATTTCAAATGTATGCCAGAAGTACAGAGAATAAGATTTTTTTCGTGTATAAAAAGTAACTGTTAATACAATTATTCTCAAAATTTTCAATCGGAATGCTAGATAATTATTATTGTATACATAATTATGGATTTTATTGTACAATTCTTTCAAACTTATCTTCTTTTCCCTTATTTAGTGGCAGAAACATGCTTCCCAGAGGCCACTAAAGAAAGTGATGAAATATTGGAATAGAAAAGGTTTTACTGTTAATCAGAAATTTGTTGATCATAAAATGCAAAGAACCTTTAATCATTTTCTGTTGTCTCTACCTTTTTGGTTAATGATATCTGCTTAAGTTGTAAGGGTCTGTACCTGGAGGGAGAGAGGTGTAATCATGCTGTGAGGATGTGTCTCCTTTACTCCACATGCTGGGTCAGCACATTTTTCTGTATATTTGTTGTTATCAAATTCAGTATTTTGAGAGACCCAGTTAGTTATTTACCTACTTTTAATCTTTGTAATTATTTTAACACTTTAACTCTTCCATTGTTCCTAGGATTCTAAAATTTCTTCCATGGAGCGTGGACTCCGAGACCTGGAAGAGGAAATTCAGATGCTGAAATCAAATGGGGCTTTGAGTACTGAAGAGCGGGAGGAGGAGATGAAACAAATGGAGGTGTATAGGAGCCACTCCAAATTCATGAAAAATAAGGTGTGGACGAGATACTTCAGTTCCTAGAGGCTTTAAAATTTTATCCATACTTTTTCATGTTAGTGATGATAAAGATCTTCTTTATTTTTATAGACTTTACAGGAGTGGTCCCTCCTGTTCCCACATAGAAACTTCCCAGAATTAAAGTGAGAATTACTGGTATAATTTAGTTATTTCAGGCTTTTATTTAAATAAGAATTGTTTGATGTGTCTAAGGGCATGTTATATGTTATAGTGTTTTTTTTTTTTTTTTTTTTTTTCCTCCTTCTTGTAGGTACTTTTGAAATGATTTTGTGGAACTTTGTTCAGATGCATTTCTTTAATTGTATGAGACAGCTCATTCTCTACCTCTTTTGGGATGTGTTTTAAGTCAAATTCCCGAGAGTTGTTTTTACAAAACAAATTAAATGTTTCCCCTTTAAACAAGTTCCCAGAATGGAAGACCTTTGCTCTCTCCATTTGGGGAGTTCATTTGCTACTAGCTTTGTTGCTCCTATGAGTTCTTGGGCGTATGTAACAATAGGATAGTGAGTACTGAGTCTATCAGTGTGGTTTAAAACCAGCCACAACATTCTTTCTTTAGATCAAAGCCATTTAGTTTGATACTATAAACTATTTAAATAAAATTGAAGAATTTGATTTATTGTGGTTATCAGTTTTATTGTGGTTCAGTTGCAAAAAAATGGACATGGTGGCAGACGCCTACAGTGCCATCACTTGGTAGACAGCGCAGCAAGACTGCTGCGGCTTAGAGGCCAGCCTGGTCGACATAGTGAGTTCCAGCTAGCCAGGGCTACACGGTGAGGGTCTGTTTCAAAATGGACAAATACACAAATAAATAATCTTAACAATGAAATTTTAGCTAGAAAGGTATTTACTCACTGCATTTCCCAAATGTGTACAGCAGCTGTGTTCTCCAGTTTCTTGGAACTGAAAGTGAAAACACCCCCTATGTGTGACTGCCAAGGAATGACATAAGTGTGACTCCCTACCCTTTTCAGGCTTTTTGTTGTGTTTGTGTCTGGCATATGTCTATAGAATTTTCCTCTATTACTAAAGAGTCTGTTTTGATAGTATAACTAATTACATGTATTTTAAAGCTAAAAAATTGATGTGCCCAACTTTTTGTTAGCTTGGATTTTCTCCATAATTTTAGGACAAAATATACTGTATTATAATCTATATTACACTTTCTTTTTGTTGATCATCACATTCTAGTTCATTTAAAAGAAGTTTGTCGCAGAGACAGTATATGCTTTTGAAAATTGAATTAGGGAAACAGATTTGATTATTTTATGTAAGTTATTGTTATTTCAGAGGTCACTGTGGCTCACAATCAGGTAATTTGAAGACCGAAGTTGGCACATGAATGAAAAACAATAACAATGTCGTGACAGGTAGAGCAACTGAAGGAGGAACTAAGTTCGAAAGAGGCTCAAGGGGAGGAGCTGAAAAAGAGAGCTGCTGGTCTTCAGTCTGAGGTCTTTGCAGTAAGATTTACCTCTCTGTGTGCAGTGATCCCACAGTGGGACCCTGCTGGCTCTGGCTTCTGGGTGGCTTACACTTTCATTCTCTGTATGGATGGCAGCTCTGCCAATTCTTAGCACTAACCAGCCTGCTCTGCTCTTTTAACTGACCTTTGTTCACAGTTTGACCCATATATCACTTGTGCAAACTGAGTCCACATTGATTCTGGGAGCCCTACACGCCTGCTTCTTTATTGTTTGTGGGTAATATCTCAAAACTCCCATTCTGCATCCCCTTGTTGAGTACATGTACATTGATTTATATGAATGGTCTTTCCCTCCATTCTTTTTTGGTACAGGAATATGCACATGTCTCTAGTCCCATCACCTACAACTTACCTAGATTTGAAATTCTTGAGAAAAGTGCTTTAGCTATATGGAGACATTATCTTTACGTTTCCATTAGGAGATTTTGCAACAAATGTTAATTTCTTTAGGACAGATGCATAGAGAGTAATTAGCCTATTTAAAGTTACCTGGGAGTTTAGAATTAATTAGTGTGATATTTATTTTAAATTACTAAAACTGCATTTCAAGCCATTCTAATAATTAATAAAATAACCATTACTTGTTTACTTACTAGAAGCATCTGGGGTTATCAAAACTTATTTACAGATGAGAAAACTCAGTTAACAGATAATGCCCAGGAAACCACAGCTTGTAAGGGGCATGGTTTCATTGACACCAACAATCCCATTGTAGAGTTTACTTGTAGTTTCTTCATTATTTGGTCTATATCGTCCATGCATATCTTCTTCAAAGTGTCAAAGATGAATGGAAAACCTACCCTTGGGAAGAATTAGGGACTAAGCCTGGAATCCAGTATTAGAATAAAATTTGATAATTGGATGTGCTTCTTATTTATGGCTAGTTTGTATTGTAGGTTAAAAAGTAAAATCCTATGCTTGGAAAAGATCTAATTTGGATTATGGTATCTGGAGGAGAAATTGGTATATAGGTTTCTTTTTTTTTTTTTTCTTAGCTATTTTTGTTCATCTATGTGTATCAGACAGCAGGCCAAAGTACATCTCTTACATTATTTTGTTGAATTCCTAAACAGTATGAGGCTTTGGTATAGTATCTCCATTGCCAGTTAGGAAACCAAGATGTAGAAAATAGCTTTATGATTTCTTCAGTGACTAACTGCTATTATGTGCTCCTCACCTAGTTCTCTCTCTTGGTAATTCTAGAAGGAAGATATGTGCTTCTAAATTTTTCCTTTGTTGAAAGTGTTTTCTTCTCTTTCTCAGTCTTTGAGGGTCTGTAAAGCTCTTTTAATAATGCACATAGCAAGGAAACAACAGTCTTGTGCAGAGCTGAGTATGTGTGTATTTTGGAATTCTGAGAAAGGACCTTATTATGTAGGAGGCCTCAGCCTTCTTAGCATTGAGAGGTTTGGGTGTGTATCTCCATGCCTGGCTTTTATTTATTTGTGACCAATGTATAGAAGTACCCAGAAATTTCAGTACCATAGTTCTTTCTTAAGGAAGTAGTAATACTTTGAATATTCTGAGTGTTTATTTATAGAACAAATATATTTGTATTAATTTTACATATAAAAATTTAAGTAATATTTTATATATATTATAGATGGAATAATACTAATAATGTATTATTGTTGGTAAAAGGATAGCACTAGTATCCTTTCATATTTGTATATAATAAGCATATAAAATATGACTACTATATCAGTAAATAGTTTTCATGTGTATAGAAAAATGCTCTTATTGTAAGAGAAGACTAAACTGTTTTTAGTGCTCCTTAAAAGTCTAATTGACTCCTTCTTCCTTCCCTCCTCCATCCCTCCCTGCTTCTTTCCCTCCTCCTTTCTGTTGTTATACTGGGGGGGGGGTCAATTGTAGGGTCTTGTACATGTTAGGAAAGAACTTTTCCATTAAGTTATGTTCCCAAACTTAAAGTCTAATTTTAAGGTAAATTTTGTTTTTTTCTAATGAAATTGCTTTAAAAACCTTTCCCTTTACTTAAGATTAATATTTTAGAGATACTCAGTTTTCTAAAACTCAAAGGAATTTTAGTTCATCTGCATGAAAGTTACTTATTTACTGTATTTCTGTTCAATAGTTAATCTGCCTTATAGTTATTTCCTATAATATAAGATCAGAATATGTCATAAGACAGCTTTCCTTTTTAATCTTTTATTTAAAGTTTAATGAGTTCAAATTAGGAAAGAAGGTGGCTGGGTGTGGTAGTAGTGCAGGTCTTTAATCTCAGCACAGCACTTGGGAGGCAGAAGCAGATGGATCCTTTTCTGTTTGAGGCTAGCCTAGTCTGCATAGTGAATTCTAGACAACCAGTGCAAAACAGAGAAGACCTGTCTTGGAAAGCAATTCTTAGGAACAGGGATGGCTAAGAAGGCTCAGTGAATAAGAACACTTGCTGTGTAAACATGAGGCCCTGAGTTTAAATCTACAGAACTCATGTGAGAAGCCAAATGTGTTTGCATGTGTCTGTGATCCCAATGCTACAGAGACATGGAGACAGGAAGGTCACCAGGGTTTGTTAGCTTCAGGTTCAGTGAGAGAACCAGTCTGGAGGAGTAAGGCAGAAGGTGATAGAGCGGGTGATAGAGCATTGGCCTCTGCATGTGTATGTGCAAATACAACACCCCACATATTTACTGGGTGTGTTTGCACATCTGTAATTCTAATGCTTAGGAGATAGAGGCAGGAAGATCAAGAGTTCAAGACCAGCCTTTGCTACATATCAGTTTGTGCTGGCCTGGGGTCCCCCTCCCTTCTCTCCCCCCCCCACATGCTTAGGAGCAATAGGTATATAAAGAAGATATTTAAAAGGAAATATTTGTTGGTGTTAAGAGAGCTTTGTGGAGCTGGGTGGTGGCAGCACACACCTTTAATCCCAGCATTCAGGAGGTAGAGACAGACAGATCTCTGTAAGTTCAAGACCAGCTTGGTCTACAGAATGAGTTCCAGGACAGCCAGGGCTACACAGAAACCCTGTCTTGAAACACAAAACAAACAAACAAACAAACAAACAAAAAAAAAAAACCAAGAGAGAAAACTTTGTACTGTTTGATTTATGAGTTTCTCATTCAACTGGTAAACTTCAGATGCCACATGTAGATTCTCTCAGTGAGGGCTTATACATTCCTCTTTTAAGCCCGATTTGTTTATCTCTTTATGCTCTATGATGTATATATAGTTTTTTTGTTTTTTTAAAAGAAAGCATCTCTTTAACACTGAAAGCAGTTTGGTTTCCTCCTATTTTTATGACACAGGATCTCACTATATACCACTGGCTAGCTTGGAACTCACAGAGATCCAACAGCTTCTGCCTGGGATAAAGTTGTGCAATTCCACAACTAGTTTAACTTTTTAAGAGAAAGCTTTTATGAAAGTTTTGCTTGAGAAAGAAAAAAAAAAAAAAAAAAAAAAAAAAAAGGAGTATAGCACTCGGATTTGAATTTACTTTCAGTAGAACTAGAAAGTTGCTTTTTTGCTCTTGTTTTACATCCACACTAATCCTGCCTGCGACCCATTGTCTCCTGGAGGTAGAGGCTTGACACAATGAAGTGGTGTTTAGGTGATGGATGCTGCCTCATCTGGTTTCACTGTAATTTCCTCCTCCATCTTTTCCTCCTAAGGCAGTGGTTCTCAACTTGTGGGTCGAAACCATTGGAAAACGTATTTTTGATGGTCTTAGAAACTGAGACACTCCTCAGCAGCAAAATTACAGCTATGAAGTAGCAATGAAGATAGTTTTATGATATGGGGTTATCACAACATGAGGAACTGTATTAAAGGGTTGCAGCATTTGGAAGGTTGAGAACTATTGGCCTAAGGGGTTTCAGAAACTATTTGAGACAATAAATGAACAGTAGAAATGTTGTCTGTGTTTGTTGAATAAGCTTAGTTTTTGGTAAGGAGCATATGGTAGTAGATGTCACAAAAAGATCAGTATGTCCTATCCTATTGATTGACTACTTGATGAGCCTAGGAACTCAGGCTGCCAGACAAGTGCTTTACCATTAAAGCACACCCTTTATCTCTACCTCATCCTAAAGTTAATGGTACATTTAGTTTCCTATCTTGTGTCACAAATTTGCCAGATGTCCAGCTATGCAGTAGTTGCATAATTTCTTTCTTCATTACAATGTTGTGTTTTCTTTTCCAGATTGGCCAGGTGAAACAAGAGTTGTCCAGAAAGGACACTGAACTGCTAGCCTTACAGACAAAGCTAGAAACTCTCACGAACCAGTTCTCAGACAGTAAGCAACATATTGAGGTGCTGAAGGAGTCCCTCACGGCTAAGGAACAAAGGGCTGCCATCCTGCAGACTGAGGTAAAGAGTGCTTGTGATTGGTGTGGAATCTGGTCCATTTCTAGTTTCATTTTGTTATATATTTGTTATGTTTAGAGTCATGTGATCATTTATTGTACTAAAACAACCATTTTGTTTCTTTTGTTAGATTTAATTAAAACAGATGCTATTTCTTTACATTTTTTAGTATTAGGATTTATACCACACCTGTAGTTGAAAGTATGTTTTAAATTACTCAGATAAGAAGATAGTTATAAAAATGTCTGATTCAGTGAGAGTTAGAAGTATTAATTCTTTTAGGGGGAGGAAGAAAGAGTTATTTCTTCTTACCACTCTCAGGTCACAGTCTGTCACTGAAGGAAATCAGAGCAGAGACTCAAGGCAGGAACCTGGAGGCAGGAACTGATGCACAGACCACGAGGAGCACTGTTATTCATGTTCATGGCTTCTCATCCCGAGTTCTTTTCTTTTCTTTCTTAAACTTTTTCTATTTATTCTTTGTCTTTCTCATCTTGCATCTCCCTTCTATTCATTTCCCCATCCCTTTGTATCTGCTCTCTGTCCTTGCAGCTTCCCCCACCCACAAAACAAAACGAAATTTAAGAGGAAAAAAAAAAAAAGAAGAAGCCTGTCTCGTCATGGAAGCTGTAGTGTGACATAGTGAGTCACACAGCAAAATCTTTTACCCACATATCTTTACCTGCAAATGTTCTTTTTAAAGAGCAATTGGTCTGGTTTGAGGCCTCTGGTTTAGGCTATACTATGGATGCTGGGCCCTCACTGGAACTTCTCTTGGATATCCTGTTGTTGCCCTGTGTCATGGAGATCCTGCAGCTTTGTGTCTGCAGGTCTGGTGCCTTCACAGATGGGGTGGATGGTTGGAGTGGGCCAACTTACAACTTGGTTCAGGGCTTGGGCAGGGTTGGTCAGCTCACCAGCTCTCCCTTGTCCTTACCACCAGGGGGAGCTCTCCTGCAATGTCCTGGTTAGTTCACCCTTTGCAGTGATGAACAAGGGGCAGGGCCAGGGCCCTGGCCCGTTCTCCAGCTTTAATGTCCTCAGGTTCCATTCTCCCACACTTACAAGTTCAGGGCCAGAGGTAAATTATGAATGACAGTAATCTTGGTTAGTTTGGATTACTCGTGAAGACAGACAGACAGACAGACAGACAGACAGACAGACACACACACACACACACACACACACACGTACGTGCGCATATTTGTTATTAGTACATGTGTATGTATGTGGTTGTGCCTGTATGGCAGTGAGGAGGTCAGAAGACAACTCTTGGGACTTGGTTCTCTCCTGCCACCTTGTAGAATCTAAGACTCTAAGTCATCAAATGTTTATGTTAGCCTCTCTTTCCTGTGAGCCATCTTTCCAGACCTGCTGGCATAATTTTTGAATAAGTTCTGCTCTTTCTGTGTTTTTGTTGGGCTGAATTTGGATTTATTTAAGGAATTTCAAATGTGAAATAATATGGAAAATATTCCTTTCAGTTTTTCATTTATAAAGAGGATTTCACTTTGGTAACTTGAACATTCATTGCCACAAACAATTCAGAAGACAGTGCCAGTGTCTTAAAGGTCTGCCTCACTTCCAGTTTGCTACTGGTAGCTTGGGATGCAAGCCAGCCATCAAGCAATTAGTTAATGACCATAACATTTGCCTTCTGGCAATCCACTGCTCCCTTTGTATCCAGCTTGGATAGCATCTTCTTAGCTAGGTCTTATACAGATGGGATTGTGATGGGTCTCTTCTACCATTGATGGTAACGACTGTATTTATTATCACTCTTGAATGGCTTTTTACTTACCCCTAGCCCAGGGTAGGTGTCACTGAGCCTCAGGAAATACCTCTGTATTTCAGTTACTCCAATACAGCCATGTCCTCCTCCTCCTCTTCCTCCTTCTCCCTCTTTCTCCTCTTCCTCCTTCTCTTCTTCTTCTCCTTCTCCTTCTTCTCCTTCTTCTTGTTCTTGTTGTTCTTCTTGTTCTTGTTTTGCTTTTTTGAGACAGTTTCTCTGTATTGCTTTGGAGCCTGTCCTGGAACTAGCTCTGTAGACCAGGCTGGCCTGGAACTCATAGAAATCCGCTTGCCTCTGCCTCCCGAATGCTGGGATTATGGGTGTGTGCCACCAATGCCCTGCTAAAAGTAAGCTTCTTCATAAATTAAGAATGTAATACATTTATTATTATCACTTGCTTCCAAATAATTTCTCTAGTGATATTTGACAACAGTTTTTCCCCAAGCAACTTTCTTTTGTTAGAGCCCAATAAAAGGCAGTTTGTACCAATTCATTGAAAGTTGTTATATTTTGTTCTTAATTGATTTTATCTTCTTTGCAGCTGTTTGATCTGTTGTAAGAACCAATTAATTAAACATATGAAAAAGAGCAGGGATCATGGAGCTTTTTAAAATTCTTCTGTATTTGTATGTGTATTGTGCATTTGTGTGGGTGTATTTGTATGTGAGTATAGTGTGGAGGCCAGAGGCCATTGTGAGGTAATGTTCCTCAGGTGCCCTTTACCTTGTTTATTTGAGGCAGGCTATCTTGCCTGCCCTGGGGCTTGCTGGTAAGGCTAGGTTGACTGGCCATCAAGTCCTAGGGATCTTCTTATCTCCTTTTCTTCAGTGTTGAGGTTGCAGATGCTTTTTTGGGGTTTAACTCAGGTTCTCCTGCTTTCATAAGTACTTTACTGAATAAGCTATTTCCCAACCCCTCAGTTAAAAATTCTTCAAGGAAGACATTAATCTGGGGCAAAGGTCTGTGTGGTAGTCCCTCCTCCCATCCTAAGATGTCTAGGATGAGGACTTCTGGTGTTCAGCACTATACAATATTATTGAAATGCCTCTGACTATAAATTTCTCTTTTAATCTGCTGACCTTCATAAAAGTGATCAAACTTTAGTAGAAATAATAGTTGAGGACTGGAAAGAAGGCTCAGAGGTTAAGAGCACTGGCTGCTCTTCCAGAGGTCCTGAGTCCAGTTTCCAGCAACTGCATGGTGGCTCACAACCATCTATAATGAGATCTGGTGTCCTCTTCTATACATGCAGGCAGAACACTGTATATATAATAAATAAATACATCTTAAAAAGAAGAAATTGAATAGTTGAAAGTAGAGATTTATCTGCACAAGGTCAAGCCTGTCAGTAATCCCTGTGCAGATGCGGGCAGAGCTCATAAAGAACCACTGCTAGTTGAGGAGCTGTTGATGGCTGCTGGGAGGGTTGCTGGGAGGGTGTGACTGCTGGTTGGGGTTGTTCATACTCATGCAGGCAGCACTAGTTGGACTCAATGGATTATTAAAAAAAATGTGAATATGAGAAGACCACTTAGGTGTGTGAAAGGGGATTTGGGTTGATGTGATCATGATACATTGTAAATTGTATGAAATTACAGTATTATAAAAAGTACTTTAAAAAATAGAGGTTTGGGGTGATAGTGGGGCACACCTTTAATTCCAGCACTCAGGAGGTAGAGGCAGGAAGATCTCTGTGAGTTCAAGTTCAGAGTAAGTTCTAGGGCAGCAAAGAGATATATACAGAAACCCTGTTTTAAAAAACAAACAAACAAACAAAAAAGTGAAGAAAGTAGAGGTTTTGAGATAAACCAAGAGCCTATACTAACCCTCAGTATTAATTATTATGTGACTGTATATGAGTTGTTTTTAACTCACCTAAGCCTCTGTTTCTTCATCTATAAAATAAGGATAATGACACTACTGTTCCTAAAGTTGTTTTTGCTAGAGTACATGTTTTATTACACAATCCTTTCCCAAATATACAAGGACCCTTACATTTATAGGCTAAAAATACTTTACAATACCTGATCTTTTATAACATCCATTTTATTTTATTTTTGAGGCAGGGTCTTGTTATGTAGCCCTGGTTTTTCTGGACCTCTCTATGTAGACTAGGCTGGCCTCAAACTCACAGAGATCCATCTGGCTCTGTCCCCTAAGTGCAGAAATTATGATGTGCGCCGCCACTCTCTCTGTCTTATAATACTTTTATTTGATACCAGTTGTATTTTGTTTTGTTTTGTTTTTTGCTCCTGCATTCCTGCATTAGTTGCTTTAGTATCCCTGTGGCCATAGAACTTAACAGAAACAACATAATAAAGGACAGACTTATTTTGGCTCATGGGTTCAAAGAGTTTCAGTTCATCATGGTGGGAAGGAATGGTAGAACAGTTGAGTTCCTGGTGGTGTGAGCATGTGTTTAACCAGGATTCAGAGAGTGCAAAGGAACCAGGCTCCAGTGTCATCTTCAGAGGCTCACCTATAGTATGCCACTTCCACCAGCCAGGCCTCCCCAAATTATAGCACCAGGATGGGATGTAGTGTTCCAAATGTGAGACATTTCAGACTTAAATTGTAGCATTCTACTCTTTTCCTATCCCTACCCCACTCCCACCAAAGTCCTTGACCATCTCGGTACAAAATGCATTTAATCTGTTTCAAGATTCTCTCATAGTCTTCACAGTACCAGCATTGTTAGTCCCAACTGAGACTCAAAGCAGTCTTTAGTTGTTATATTAGTCAAGAGCCCTTGAAATATCAAATAGAAACCATGTGTGGTAGCTTATATAGCTACTCTTAGTTTTTGAGTTAATGGGCATTAGGATTGCCAGGAGTTCAAGGTCAGTCTAGGCTACATGGTGAGACTTCAAAAAGAAACAAAACCACAGGTCTCTGGGAACACCAGAATTCCAAGATGCTGATGAAGAAGAAACTCATGGATGTTGAGCTGGGAGAGCTGCCAAGCTGGATATTGATGTGGGATTTTACTTTCAAAGGCTTGGAGTATTTCAGAGAGATTACAACTGGCATCACAAGTACATTAATGTGAGGAAAGGGAGCATCAGTGCTCCTCAGTTATTTATAAGGAACTCAAACGTGAATGATAATGGACTAAACCTCTGAACTATAAGCAAACCTCAATTAAATGCTTAAAAAAAAGAGTAGTCATGGTGTGCCTCTTTATAGCAATTAAATACATACACACACCAAATATTTTAAAATGTTTGCTTGTTTTTTTTTTTTTTTTTTTTTTAAATGATTTTAGTACTTTGGTCGTATACCCCTTTTCCAATCTTCTTTGTATGGTAATGATGCCAAAAGTGGTTATAGGAAACCAGTTAATTAGTTTGGGTTCCGATTCCTTCAACTTTAAAATTAGGAAGTTTTTGTTGTTCTCATTTGTATTTATATCGACCTTGTGGATATAAACATGTGATTTCACTGAGTTACACCCAGAGTCTCTAAAATTTGGAGTTTCATCTGTATTTTTTAACCTTAATTTATTTATATATCTGTGTTTCATGGGTGCTAGGATTCAAACTTTTGTACTCATTATTGTGCAGCATGTTCCCAGCCACTGAGACATCTTCCCAGCCCCCTGTATCTGTCTGTGTGTGTACATGCATGTTTGTGTTTGTACATGCACAAAGACACATGTCACATCTCGTGTGGAAGTTAGAGAACAATTTGTAAGCATTGGTTCTCACCACCATTTGTTAGAGAACCATTTACAGGTACTGGTTCTTTCCAACTGGGGATCCAAGTTGCCCTTAGGCTCATCTCCCTCTGTGATATCTTATCGGACAAGATGATATAATTTCAGATGGAATACTCCATACATCCGGTCTATTGATTTCTGTTGTGTAATTCTGCAAATTATGGGGAAAATGCAAGGAATAACATGAAAGAAACTTACAGTAAGATTTAACATACATTAATAATTATCCATATTAGTCATCTTTAGTTGTTTCTTGGAAGGACCTAAATGAAAAAAAAATCTAAAATTATTAATGAAAGCACTGGCTTAAATAGGAAATATTCTTTGAATCACAGGGCTTTAGAACTGGTTGGGGCTATAAGTAAAGATTTAGAAACTGTCATTATAGTGATAGAGCCTGTGGGTTTCATTTCTCTAGAGGAAGCTGCACTGTGTAGAGAATGTTGAAAAGGTTCATTCAGAGTTAGGAAGATTCTCATTGATGTAGCCAGGGGAGACACAAAAGGGAACAAGCAGTTTTCTTCCCCCTCAGATTATTGTACAAGTGTGCATTTGCTTTGTAAGACAAAGCAAGGATACATTATAGTTGTGTGATCAGAATTGAGACGCCACAGCAGAAAGGCAGTTATTTTTCTGTTTCCAATGGTAGAGGAAAACTTTGAGTTTTTAGTAAGTTGGTCTACTAAATTTACCACAGACTTTGATGCTTGGCAAACAAGGTAGATATTCCTTGTGATCAGTTGATGTGGATAAGCAAGGTCTTGTCCTTCTGCTAGGAGTGGTTTTAGGGTGATGACTGTGTGTCCTTTGAGGGGTTTTCCTTCATGGTTTTGTGTGGAATGCAAAGTATGGACCTCATGTAAAATTACACTACACATGTAGGTCATTCTAGACCAATAAGGTTGCTTCAGAATTCATAGCAAATCAATACAGCTATGTCAAAGTGGTTTTTGTGGCTGTCTTTATTTTATTTATTTGTTTATTTATTTATTTTTGTTTTAGATCACCTGACCAGCACATTTAAATTCTGTATGGCTTAAAAAAGTGTGTGTGCATGTACACACACTCATAATACACACACTCACAATACACACACACACACACAATTTGAGTTGAATATTGAGTCAAAAAAGGTTAATTTAGTAATTAGGGCAGAGACTTTGATAGTTTCTGTACCTAATATTTATGATACAAGATTTTTTTTTTTTCGTATCAAAGCTCATGTTTCCAGCTACTCTTGCATCAGAAGTTTGTTTATAATGAGTTCTCATTCTTTTCCTTTTGTACTCACCAGTTCGTGCAGGTCTTGTACTGGCAACCCCTCAGAATGACATGCAGGTATTTATAACTGATCAGCATTGTCATGTTCCCGGAAGGCTCAGCCCTGAATAGAAAGGTGTCCTGACTTGTCAGGAAGGCAGGCTACCCAGAGCCTCAGTAGGACAGCTCTGGAGGGTAGAGCCTCAGTAGGCTACCTGAAATTGGGGTGCAGTGGGGGGCTGGTCTCCTCACAGGACATAGCAATCCTTCTCCTCCTAGAGAGCCATTATAGCTGAGCTCTGTTCTGTTCCCCTAGGGCAAGATCCTAGCAGAGAGATCTGCTTCTTCCTCGACCCAAGATGTTACTTCTACTACACTCTGCTAAAGGGGCAGTCTCTGCAGAAATGTAGCACTTTCTGTTTGATACCATTGGATATGGTGAATTTGGAATGTTTAAGTTCTAATCATTTCACTTATTATTATAATGTTTAAAATAATTTAACTCCCCTGAATCCCAGTTTTATTTTCTTTAAAAAATGGGCAACTCTATTCTAGGAAATTCTGTTTTGTAGCTAGTCTTTCTCTGTTCCGCCAGCTAGCTCCCAAATAATGACACAGAGACTTCTTATTAATTATGAGAGCTCAGCTGATAGCTTAGGCTTGTTTCTAACCAGCTCTTATAAGTTAACCATTTCTATTAATTTACTTTCTGTCTTAATGGCTTTATTACCTTTACTGTGTATTGCCCATGCTGCCTTCCTGCTTGCGTCTCTGACTGGTGTCTCTCCACATCTTCTGTGCCCTTCTTCCCAGTGTTCTCTCTACCCTGAAAGTCCCGCTATTCAGCTTTGTATTCAAACAATCCAAGTGACAGATCTTCACAGTGTACAAAAAGTTTTATTCCACAGCAGTATTCCTCTCCTTTCTGTTCCTTTCATTGTCTGTAAATCTTCTGTTCTTAGGTGGATGCTCTTCGATTGCGTTTGGAAGAAAAGGAGACAATGCTGAATAAAAAAACCAAACAAATTCAAGATATGGCTGAGGAGAAAGGTACACAAGCTGGAGAGATACACGACCTTAAGGACATGCTGGACGTGAAGGAGCGGAAGGTCAATGTTCTTCAGAAGAAGGTGAGGCATTTAATTTTTTAATTTCATGGTTTTTGTGGCATATTTTAAACTTATGTTTTAGAATGTCTCTTTTATTGGTCTCTGTATTCTGTGGCTTTGTTTCAAGTTTGGTATTTATGGTATGTATTAATATTCTTTCCATCATACTTTTTTAAATTTAATGATGTCTAGCTGTGGTTCCCATTTCCTTGTGTGAAATTTAGAGTCTGTTTATGTCATCATTGTTTTATTCTCGGGAAGGCTTGAACAAATGTCTGCTCACTTAGATAGGGAGCTGATGATAGACCAGAGTTTGTATAGGATCAAAGTCCATCTTGATGGACCAATGATTTTTACTGGGGTTACATGCGAGAATGTGGGTGAGGGATTACTTTCAGGAGTAGGCATGACTCAAGCACAGCTGCCTCCCCAAAAGCCTACTGCAGCACAGTGGCAATTCCCTAAAACTAGAAACCTGGAGCCCATTGTGCAACCTGCAGGCAGCTCAGCAGCTGGAGGGCATATCTTCCTTATGATTCAGTGGGCTGAGCCTCTTCAGCCCCTGTGCCTGACTGATTCTTTGGGGCCCTGACTCATCTGCTTCTTCCAGGCTACTTTGTCTCAGCCTCTGTTAAGCATTCAGCTTTTCTTAGTCTTTCCTAAGTGGTTCTTACTGATGTTATGCACTGTATGGGGGGGGAGGGAAGTCCTTACTGTTATATACTGTATGGGGGGGGAAGTCCTTACTGTTATATACTGTATGGGGAAGTCCTTACTGTTATATACTGTATGGGGGGAGGGAAATCCTTACTGTTATATACTGTATGGGGGGAGGGAAGTCCTTACTGTTATATACTGTATGGGGGGGAGGGAAGTCCTTACTGTTATATACTGTATGGGGGGGGAGGGAAGTCCTTACTGTTATATACTGTATGGGGGGAGGGAAGTCCTTACTGTTATATACTGTATGGGGGGGAGGGATGTCCTTACTGTTATATACTGTATGGGGGGGAAGTCCTTACTGTTATATACTGTATGGGGGGAGGGAAGTCCTTACTGTTATATACTGTATGGGGGGAAGTCCTTACTGTTATATACTTTATGGGGGGGAGGGAAGTCCTTACTGTTATATACTGTATGGGGGGAGGGAAGTCCTTACTGTTATATACTGTATGGGGGGGAGGGAAATCCTTACTGTTATATACTGTATGGGGGGGGGAAGTCCTTACTGTTATATACTGTATGGGGGGAAGTCCTTACTGTTATATACTGTATGGGGGAGGGAAGTCCTTACTGTTATATACTGTATGGGGGGAGGGAAGTCCTTACTGTTATATACTGTATGGGGGGGGGGAGGGGGAAGTCCTTACTGTTATATACTGTATGGGGGGGGAGGAGGGAAGTCCTTACTGTTATATACACTATGGGGGGGGAGGGGAAGTCCTTACTGTTATATACTGTATGGGGGGGAGGGAAGTCCTTACTGTTATATACTGTATGGGGGGAAGTCCTTACTGTTATATACTGTATGGGGGAGGGAAGTCCTTACTGTTATATACTGTATGGGGGGGGGAAGACCTTACTGTTATATACTGTATGGGGGGGGGGAGGGAAGTCCTTACTGTTATATACTGTATGGGGGGAGGGAAGTCCTTACTGTTATATACTGTATGGGGGAGGGAAGTCCTTACTGTTATATACTGTATGGGGGGAGGGAAGACCTTACTGTTATATACTGTATGGGGGGGGAGGGGAAGTCCTTACTGTTATATACTGTATGGGGGGAGGGAAGTCCTTACTGTTATATACTGTATGGGGGGAGGGAAGTCCTTACTGTTATGTACTGTATGGGGGGGAGGGAAGTCCTTACTGTTATATACTGTATGGGGGGGGGGAAGTCCTTACTGTTATATACTGTATGGGGGAGGGAAGTCCTTACTGTTATATACTGTATGGGGGGGGGAGAGGGAAGTCCTTACTGTTATGTACTGTATGGGGGGGGAGGGAAGTCCTTACTGTTATATACTGTATGGGGGGGAGGGAAGTCCTTACTGTTATATACTGTATGGGGGGGAGGGAAGTCCTTACTGTTATATACTGTATGGGGGGGGAGGGAAGACCTTACTGTTATATACTGTATGGGGGGGAGGGGAAGTCCTTACTGTTATATACTGTATGGGGAGGGAAGTCCTTACTGTTATATACTGTATGGTGGGGAGGGAAGTCCTTACTGTTATATACTGTATGGGGGGAGGGAAGTCCTTACTGTTATATACTGTATGGGGGGAGGGAAGTCCTTACTGTTATATACTGTATGGGGGGAGGGGAAGTCCTTACTGTTATATACTGTATGGGGAGGGAAGTCCTTACTGTTATATACTGTATGGTGGGGAGGGAAGTCCTTACTGTTATATACTGTATGGGGGGGAGGGAAGACCTTACTGTTATATACACTATGGGGGGAGGGAAGTCCTTACTGTTATATACTGTATGGGGGGAGGGAAGTCCTTACTGTTATATACTGTATGGGGGGAGGGAAGTCCTTACTGTTATATACTGTATGGGGGGGGGAGGGAAGTCCTTACTGTTATATACTGTATGGAGGGAGGGGAAGTCCTTACTGTTATATACTGTATGGGGGGGGGAGGGAAGTCCTTACTGTTATATACTGTATGGGGGGGAAGTCCTTACTGTTATATACTGTATGGGGGGGGGAGGGAAGTCCTTACTGTTATATACTGTATGGGGGGGAAGTCCTTACTGTTATATACTGTATGGGGGGGGGGGGGAAGTCCTTAGTGTTATATACACTATGGGGGGGGGAGGGAAGTCCTTACTGTTATATACTGTATGGGGGGGAGGGAAGTCCTTACTGTTATATACACTATGGGGGGGGGGGGAAGTCCTTACTGTTATATACTGTATGGGGGGAGGGAAGTCCTTACTGTTATGTACTGTATGGTGGGGGAGGGAAGTCCTTACTGTTATGTACTGTATGGGGGGAAGTCCTTACTGTTATATACTGTATGGGGGGGGGGAGTCCTTACTGTTATATACTGTATGGGGGGAGGGAAGTCCTTACTGTTATATACTGTATGGGGGGGGAAGTCCTTACTGTTATATACTGTATGGGGGAGAGGGAAGTCCTTACTGTTATATACTGTATGGGGGGGAGGGAAGTCCTTACTGTTATATACTGTATGGGGGGGGGAAGTCCTTACTGTTATATACTGTATGGGGGGGAGGGGAAGTCCTTACTGTTATATACTGTATGGGGGGGGGGGAGAGTCCTTACTGTTATATACTGTATGGGGGGGAGGGAAGTCCTTACTGTTATATACTGTATGGGGGGGGGGAAGTCCTTACTGTTATATACTGTATGGGGGGGAAGTCCTTACTGTTATATACTGTATGGGGGGGAGGGAAGTCCTTACTGTTATATACTGTATGGGGGAGGGAAGTCCTTACTGTTATATACTGTATGGGGGGAGGGAAGTCCTTACTGTTATATACTGTATGGGGGGAGGGAAGTCCTTACTGTTATATACTGTATGGGGAAGTCCTTACTGTTATATACTGTATGGGGGGAGGGAAGTCCTTACTGTTATATACTGTATGGGGAGGGAAGTCCTTACTGTTATATACTGTATGGGGGGGGGGAAGTCCTTACTGTTATATACTGTATGGGTGGGGGGAGGGAAGTCCTTACTGTTATATACTGTATGGGGGGGAGGGAAGTCCTTACTGTTATATACTGTATGGGGGGGGGAGGGAAGTCCTTACTGTTATATACTGTATGGGGGAGGGAAGTCCTTACTGTTATATACTGTATGGGGAGGGAAGTCCTTACTGTTATATACTGTATGGGGGGAAGGAAGTCCTTACTGTTATATACTGTATGGGGGGGAAGTCTTTACTGTTATATACTGTATGGGGGAGGGAAGTCCTTACTGTTATATACTGTATGGGGGGGAGGGAAGTCCTTACTGTTATATACTGTATGGGGGGGGGAGGGGAAGTCCTTACTGTTATATACTGTATGGGGGGGAGGGAAGTCCTTACTGTTATATACTGTATGGGGGGGGGGAAGTCCTTACTGTTATATACTGTATGGGGGGGGGGGAAGTCCTTACTGTTATATACTGTATGGGGGGGGAGGGAAGTCCTTACTGTTATATACTGTATGGGGGGGGGAAGTCCTTACTGTTATATACTGTATGGGGGGGAGGGAAGTCCTTACTGTTATATACTGTATGGGGGGGAGGGAAGTCCTTACTGTTATATACTGTATGGGGGGAGGGAAGTCCTTACTGTTATATACTGTATGGGGGGAAGGAAGTCCTTACTGTTATATACTGTATGGGGGGGAAGTCTTTACTGTTATATACTGTATGGGGGGAGGGAAGTCCTTACTGTTATATACTGTATGGGGGGGGAGGGGAAGTCCTTACTGTTATATACTGTATGGGGGGGGGAGGGAAGTCCTTACTGTTATATACTGTATGGGGGGAGGGAAGTCCTTACTGTTATATACTGTATGGGGGGGGGGAAGTCCTTACTGTTATATACTGTATGGGGGGGGAGGGAAGTCCTTACTGTTATATACTGTATGGGGGGGGAGGGAAGTCCTTACTGTTATATACTGTATGGGGGGGGGGAAGTCCTTACTGTTATATACTGTATGGGGGGGAGGGAAGTCCTTACTGTTATATACTGTATGGGGGGAGGGAAGTCCTTACTGTTATATACTGTATGGGGGGAGGGAAGTCCTTACTGTTATATACTGTATGGGGGGGGAGGGAAGTCCTTACTGTTATATACTGTATGGGGGAGGGAAGTCCTTACTGTTATATACTGTATGGGGGAGGGAAGTCCTTACTGTTATATACTGTATGGGGGAGGGAAGTCCTTACTGTTATATACTGTATGGGGGGAGGGAAGTCCTTACTGTTATGTACTGTATGGGGGGGAGGGAAGTCCTTACTGTTATATACTGTATGGGGGGGGGAAGTCCTTACTGT